CTACTAACTTTTAGGTCCGTTACTTCGAGGTTAGCGAGGTTCGACCAAAACCCGAGTATTATATGAGTTTAAGAGTTTTTGCTAATGCAATACTCTATTGAACTCCTACTCAAGCACTCTCCCCAAAAACCCAAGGTGGGTATTTATAGGGAGGAGTGAGAGTGGGAATTTCTATCCCATTAATGTAGGAGCATGAAATTCCACAATTTATTTTAAAGAAAAATTATAATAAATAAGCAAACTAATAATAAATCTACAAAAGTCATTAATACATGTAAAGGGAAGTGAGGACCACTTGGAAAGTAGGGGACCGTACTTGCTCCCCACTCCATACTCTCCTTGTGCCACATGTCCCTCATACTTTAACCAAGGTGATGCGGGCTGCTGCTGCAGCAAGCCACACACATCTTGTGCGGGTTGCTGCTGCTTGCGGCCAGCAAGCCACGCACACCTTGTGCGGGCTGCTGCTGTTGCTTGCGGCCGTGGCTGCCCTTGGCTGCTAGCGTTGGTGTGCTAGCAAACAAGCTAGCCTAGGCTCGGCTTGTTGCGCATGCTAGCACATTATGTCCCTAGCACTCGGATGCTCGAGACATTCCGATGCTAGGGGTATTTTGGGAAATATTGTCGATTTATTATAATTTGCGCGTCTCGTCTTTTTACTATTTTTGACTCGACTTCCGACGCTCGATTTTAACGCTCTAAGATCGAATTTTCGACGTATAAATATTTAATACTCAGGCGACTCATTAATTTCTTCTGAATTAATTCATCGAGTTGGTTAGTTAATTGCTTGGGTGTGACCCGAAGGGTTTAGTCAAAATTAAGCTGTAATATTAATTATGCATTAATATTACTGATCGGAAGCGGCCTCTACCTAGGCATTCCGATCACTTGGCCTTACTGAATATATTAGCTTTCTAATAATTTTGAACCCACTATTAGAATAATACACTTGTTCGAAGGACACCATTCCTTTCAATCTCCCACCCTTCCGGACAAGTGCGCATTCAGTGTATAGCCCCTTTCCTATGTCTCTTCATGAACTACAGGGTAAGATTATTCGTCATCCTTGTTATGTCCAGAAGTGTTTCTTGAAATCCGAGTTTGAATGTCAATAAGCAGATGATTTCTCAAATTTATCTAAGCACGGCCATGCATTTTCACAGTCTCGCTCTTCAAGAGGCCATGTAAACAACAAGACATGTTCCCTATTATTAGCAAGGGGACATTCCTGGTCTTGTAATGTAGCTTCTATTACTAAGAGGACCTAGCCGCCTGATAGCCATCGTTATAATCCCAAATTACTGCAGACCTTAAACCTATAAAAAATGGACTAGTACTCAAACAAGAGACCTCACAATACTCATGGTCAAGGAAAAGAGTTCCGATAGCCATAATGAGAAATATACTTATGACGATTTTGAATCTCTTAAAGTATTCTCAAAGGTTGATCTAGTATAGTTCTAAACCAATACATGTGCAAATAATTTATGTCCTTATAGCACAAGAAACGGTGCCATAAATCATACTACACACTAATCTCTATTGGTCATTAATCGTCCACCATATAAATGACCTTAATTAGGGATAATTTTCGATTAAAATATTTAATGTTCACTTAATAGGTGTTTCTTTATCCAAGACATTGTCTTGATACCCTATTTTGAATATTCTTTAAAATCGAATGGACTCATTATTTAATTCTAAACCACAATTAAATAGTTTTGTGAAATATTTAGAAAAATTTTATTCCACTATGAAACTTCACAATGTTTCATCTCATAATAATTTGTTTTCCCAAATGTTTTAAGAGTAGTACTCTTCATAAAACATTTATAGAAATCACACCCATATCTAATATGCTTGATTTCTTTCACGTAATTTGTGAATGTTGTCCTTCACTTATTGCATAGGTTTAGGATTTATTGTCCAAGCAATGGCTCCCACTTATTTTCTTAATGATTTGTTACCTTCAGCTTGACAACTTACAATCATCAACGTTCAACAACGAACTTTCATTTAACATCTTCATTATTATTACCTTTTAAGGCAACAATATTCTCATCATATAATTTAGTAGACTTCTTGATGATGCCTTGCTTGGGTTTCACTCCCAACGGCTCACAATGATTTGGAATACCCTAATCACTTGTGATCATGGAAATTTACCTTAAATTTCCGCACGTTATACTTGGATGCACATCCATGTTACCATTTCTCAACCCGCGACACTTCTTACCTCGTGCTTAAAAAAAAGGCTTCCTTATTAAGGATTTCATCCTTATTTTAGGTTTGTGCTTGCATCATCAATGCTCAAATTATATTTGTTTCCATGCGTCAAGAACTCATCCTCTAACTCATCCAAGTGTTTTGGATGTTCTTGACGATAATCTAATACTTAGATTCAAGTTAATTGGTACTATATACATACTTCACATGCTCTAAGCAAGTAAGTCGTGTGACGATTTCGTACCATACATTTACATGATGGATTCAATTATAGAATGATTCTAAATCTTTATCCCATCAATTTGACATTTTAGCTCATTCAGTTTCACTAAGACTTTGCTATATTGTTCGCTATGTGATATGGTTAAAAGTCTCTTACTAGAGTCTTTCTATTTTGACTTAGTATTTAGCCTAACTTATACTTAGTTTAAACATTTACTTAGTTTTATACATATGGGTCGAAAGCCTTTCAAAGTCCTTCATGTTTAATTTGGTAAATTTCTTTACTCATTTAAACATTTAATTAAGTCTATATCATAGAACTTAATTCCCAATATGTATACTAAGTATCGCCTTTAGCTTGGTCCATTGTAAAAATACTTCCAAATCTAAACATTTAGCATTTCATAGTTGTTTCACAATAGAGTTCGTAAACTTCTTGTTGGACCTTTACTTTTGCTCCCACTAAACTTCTTATTCATCAGAATTTCTATGTTTCTCCATAAGCCAATCCTCTTATGAGAAAACACGTTCCAATTCCTATATGCAATGCTCCCTTTAATTCCATGACGGATTCCTTGAGATTGCTTTCAAATCTAACATTATTTAGATTTCCAAAACCCTTATACTATTCCATAGTCACTTCCAAAATCGTATTTTGGTAAGGCGGTTTTGGTATCTATTTTTCCATATGTCATATGTTCAATTTTGCTAGATCAATCACGAAAAGACTTAAGCATTCTGATTGGTGAATGAGTTTGTGTTAAAATCAACTCTGTGAATTTAATTATATCCTTTTCAACCAATCTAGCTATGTATGCATATACATTTTCAAATTTGTTATTTTTTTACTTGAAAACTTTTTCACCTTTCATGCAAATTAATCAAGTTTCAAACATGATTTTCAAACATGGGGTCTGTTTCAGATTTTCATGGCCTCTAACCATTATTCGGAATTTGGATTTGTCGTAACTATCTTACAATACATTATTCCTTTACTATCTAATAGTAAATAGTATGCTTGTAAGTTTTAGGTTTATTTCTAACTTAACAGAAATTTATAGGATTCAATCCAAGCCTTTGGTGAATTCTATACCTATACGGGGCAATTGCATTAAACACTGAGTTTCAAGGCGCTTCCAAAGCCCTTTTATTATGTTGATCTTACTCCAACATTTCTGATGTTTTATGAGTAATGAATTCTCTTTTAAGTCACTTGTAAAGTCCTTTTGAGTATTCTTGATAAAGCATCTCACGAAGTCCTTTTAAGGTCTTTCAAGATTCTAAGTTCTAGTTTGTTGCTAAGCTCGATGGTCATTGAGTTCATTTTCCTCCCACTTGTCGTTTTGGAAACGTGTTACTTTCCAGAAAAACACCACTTAGAGCACAAACATAATGTTCTCAATTAGGTTGTGGAGGTAATACCCGTAGTCTCACTTGAATGCTTTCAAAGAGACATGTATATTGTCTTTGGGTAAAAGTTCGTTGTGAAACAAACAATTACCTCCCACTTGAGCTATCTTAGCCTCTAATGAGCCACTAAGCTCCCACTGAGCCACCTAGCTTCACTTAGCCAGTGAACTCCCATTGAGTTACTTAGCTCCCACTGAGCCAGTGAGCTCCCACTGAGACTAAGAGCCTTAGACATATACCTGAAAAGACGTTTAAAAGTTTTTTCTATCCATAACTGAATATGGCGTCCTTTCTTAGCTTCGATATTTCGTTTAGTGTAACATTAGTCATTTGTGCAAATCTTTAAGCACTTTATAGGAAGGGTTGTGAACCATCTTTGTTCGAGTCATTTTCAAATGACATCGAGATCTCCGTGAAGACAAGCTATGTTCTTTGTGGAGTTGATTATGAAAATTTCCATTCATAACTTTGAGATGGTTACGCTTGGTTAAAACAAATATCACTCGATCTAATCTAGACGTTTTGGTATCTTGCCAAGTCAATTCTATACTTCACTGGACTATTGAGCTACTTAAGTCAAGTTTGTTCACATTTGATGAATATAACCACATCCTTTCAAATTCTTCGTGAAACGTTGAAGTAATTGAATTCTCTTTAGCCATCGGAGTCAATTGTCTCTACCAAGAACAATAGCTCTTTGCTTTGTCGGTTTCAACTGCGAAGACTAATGGTAAGAGCAATCAAAAGAGCTCGACAAGCTATCTCCTAGAGGTCTAACTAGCGCCAACTACGAGAGAAACTAACTAGGAACGTCAGAAATCAAACTCAATCGACAATTGCAATTCTTAAATCAATGGTTCGTATCATAAGCAATTACCACTAGTAGAAAAATGGTAAATGGCACCGGTTCAAAAACCCCCCATGACACTAGTTTTGAACCGCCGACTTTGTCAGGGATGCCAAAAAGTAGGATTTTTGGCACCGGTTCAGAACCAGTGGCAAATAGAGTGTTTTTGGCACCGTTTCAGTTCAACACCGGTGCTAAAAATGGCCTAAAAAAATTTATAAATAAAAAAAAAAATTTTTTGCATTATTTTCACTTAAATTGATATATAAACACTAACATGTATATAACCTTACATATTTTCATTTAAAAAGGTTTTAATATTACAATTTTGTTCCAAAAAAATAAAATAAAATACAAGTCACTGTTAAATACAAAGTCACACCAGTGTAACACAACACGGCGAGGCAGCAGCAGTAGAAGGGAGCCATGCGAGGCAGCAGCAGCCTTGGCGAGGCAGCAAAAATGGGAGAATTAAGTACACTAATGCACCCAATATTACAAATGTGAAGGTGCACTTCAATGCAACTCTGTTGTTGCTTGAATGCTGAATGACCACACCAAGAAAGAGAAATACAATGAAGCAGCTAACACATGAAGTCCAAAATAGAAACTTCTGTTACTGAATATCTGCAAAGCAATTTAAAAAAATGTTGTGAACAGTTCTTAAAAAGAGCCAAGTCTGAACAAAATCGATCAAGCTAAGAAACAACCATGATAAATTCTTCAAAAGAACTCGGTTCTATTGTGAACAGTTCAAGGATATTCATTACAGAAAAAAAAAATGTTGAAAACATGGAATACTTCATTTATGTGACCTTGCATTTTAATGGCTTTGTACACCAATGTGTAAACTGAAATAATCTTATCAGCTCAATAACTTTACCAATAATTTAAGATCAGCCAAAAATCAGTAACACATTATGTTGTGGTCAGAATTCCAGTCTAATATACATTACCATTAGTTAAATTTGAATGAACTAATGCAGATCCTCTAGAGATTAATACACTTGCAATGTTCTATTTCAGATAATGTGGTACAATCAAAATGCAGAAGTATTTGCCTTCAAAATTCTTTATCAACTTCAATACATCCTAAAATCATCACTAGCATTCACATGAAGAGCCAAATTTTTTCATAGACAATGAGATCATAGCAATAGAGATTTCTAATTATAGCAATAGAGATTTCTATAATACATCCTAAAATAATCACTAGCATTCACTTGGATGGGGGTAAAGAGAAAGCAAAAAGTACCTCCCGGGGTGGGGGTTGTGAGAAGCTGAAATTCACTTTTGATTGGATAGTAAGCTTAACATCATCGCAGTCAATTGAGGTTTTGCCGGCATGTTCATAGTAAACCTGTGCATCCGTTAAGACATCAACAACATACCCGTACCACAAATCCAGAAACTGGTGCACAACACGGGGCTCATGCTCCTCAACACCCATAAATTTTAACAATGACTTAATAATTTTCGCATCCCTAGGCAAGTCTTCTTCTCCCTCATCCATGAATCTCCAAACCGGCAACACCGCCCAATGTGCATTGTGAATTGAGATACATCATTATTCATTACTTATGAAATCTTAGACGGAAGAAAGTAAGACAACTTAAAATATAAAAAGTGTACTCATAATTTTTTAAATCACCAGTAAATCCCCAATATCATACTTGTATATAAACAAGACACAACAACCAAAGCTTTGAGCCATAAGGTCAAGTTGTTCACATAATTTCTACAATCAAACATGTAAGATTCCATTATTAGGATAACAATTCAGCACTACAAGTCTATAATATAGTACTATCAAGAAGATGCAGTAGAGCATTTAGGACAAATCCATGATTGTTTAACAGATTATAGAACCCATGCTAATCCCAAACTTATTCGTCAGTCAGTAATTCTGTAAAAAAGATTGTCCAGCCAAGTAAACTGTAACCTATAAATTTACCTACTGATTTAGAATATATAGACATTTTTTGCTTCCGTTTCCCACCTATTCTTGCACTTCAGAATTCAGACTACATGCCTTTATAATGGTGCTATGAGTCGTCCCACAGCCCACTAGGAAAGTTTAAGAAGGCCAAGCTGGTTTAGGAGATGGACTGTGGTGGGCAAGGCAGGGTGTAGAGAGGAACCATGTTTGTTTGATCCATTGACTAGTCCGCATGAGTCACTTTTAGTCAATTTTCGATTAGGATTCAACCCACAGCGCCACAAACAATCCAACGACTAGCTAATTTTGTTTCCAACTATTGTCTTAATCTTTGTTTTATAGGATGTACTCCGTCAGGCATACAGTGTGATTCTCATACAAAGAACACTGAGTAGACAATATTGACTACACTACCAAGCAAGATCAATCTGCTTTTGTAACAAATTCTACTCGGTGCACTACCTGTCTCTCATTATTTCCAAATGAAACATTCTTTAAATTCTTTAAATTCAACAGGTAACCAATTTAACTTTTAAAAGAGCTTAGAAAGAAGATTTGAACATTTTCAAATTAAATTAATTAAATGCATGAGCCGAACCTGTGTGCATAATCAATTTCAAAATTAAAAATCTGCAACATATCCAATCCAAACAAACAAACAAAATTGAAATTAACATAAACACAAATAGGTAAATAAAATTCAAAAACCCTTTCATCTCACCATTAAATTCAATCAAACTTTCAATTAATAAAAAAAAGTAAATAAAAATTAAAAACCCTAGATTCAAACCTACGAGCACATACCTCGTGAAGAGATTCACCACAATTGCAAAGATTCGGCGCCACTGAAGAAATAGACCCTCAATTACGATGGTGCGAGAACCGTCACCACCGACAGCATTCGCAAAGAAAGATAGTGAAAGAAAGAAAGGTCTGGGAATTAGGAGAGATAAGAATAAAAGAGAGAGTGGCGCGGCAACGGCGCGGTGGCGTGACGGCAGTGGAGTAGCAAAGAGAGAGTAGTGGTCTGAAGATCTAAACAGAGAGGGGAGAGGAGAGAGAGAGGACGACAAGGAAAGAGAAAGAAAGAAATAAGACGGGAAAGAGAAAAAAAATAAGACGGGCGGTTTTTTTTTTTTTTTTTTTTATTTTATTCCTACCGGTTCAAACCGATGCCATTTCACTAATTTGGCACCGGTTTGGTTTGAAATGGTGCCATTTCTATTACGTAGTATACTACATTCCGTCTAATTTTTTTCCCACCAGTTTTTAAGAACCGGTGCCAATAACTCGATGCGCATTTCTATTTTTCTACTAGTGTACAATGCAATCTAGCATAATACTTAAGGCCTATTGAATTACACATATGCACAATTTCCATTAATCACTTTAATCTCAACAATCAATCAACATAATCCTCAAATTAAGCACAATCAACCATACAAGTTTTACCCGCCCTAGCAAAATAACTACTCTAACATCATCATCTGTTCAATTAACAACTAAAAAAATCGAGAATCAACAATATATGAAGAACAACTACACTAATCAAGCATCAAACATCAAACATAAATATCAATCCAAACAAACAAGAATATTAAACAAATCAAGAAAATGAGATAGAGTTAGAAATGCTCATTGATAATAGAGAAGATCTTCAATACAATTGTCACTATTGAATCTTCAATCATTCAATCACCATTGAAATTCCTCACTTTCTCTCTCTAAAATCTACTCCTAAACTAATCCTAAATCTAGAGAGAGAAGCTCTCAACTAAGCTAAAATTATGATCTAATTCAATCTCTAATTACTTACAAAAATCGTGTTGCAAATAGGTATTTATAAGAGGCACGAATTGAAGACGAGTGAAACAGGGGCCCGGAGGTGCGCACTAGCAACACTATGCTGCGCATATGCACCACACTGCTGCATGCCCGCGCGAGGTGGTCGTGCGCCCACACCACTGTGCTGCGCGTCCGCGCTCCTCTAGATTTCTACGGTTCTTCTTGAGGGTTCGTGCGTTAGCTAATGGCTTCGAATGAGCGCACTAAATGATGATGATGGATACTAAGAGTGGCAGTACCAAAAAGCACTTGACTGTGGGTTCAACACCTCATCTTCATGAGAGCACGACTTGAGAGCGCAAGAGCTAGAACTTGGAGGACCCACTTCCTTGCATCTTAAGCTTTCCTATTGCCATGAGCTTGCTCCAAAAGCATCTTCCACTTTAGTAACCATCCATATCAAGAACCGAACCTCTTTTAATACCTACAACCACGAAAAGAGAACAAATAAAGGAGAAAACACTAGAAAAACCATTAAAATGCACAAAACCACAAAATAAGAGAGAAAAGGTAAAATAAAGAGCAAAAGCATAAACTATGCATTTATTAAGAAGGAAACTATAAACATGAAAAGATTCGGAGTGTGGTCTATCAAAATAAAAGCGTGCAAATTCTTTCATATTAACATTATTTCCATGCACAATATTTTCGAATCCTTATCCTTAAGGTTAAGGAAACGCTCAAAATCTTTCTAATAATACTCGCTTAATTTTGTAATTAACCCAAGATTTAGGAAAGGGAAGCCTAGTACGGCCCCAAATTCTTCCGGTAACGAACATATTTCATCATAACCAAGTCTAAAGCAATGAATGTCTGAATCTCAATACTCCAAGGTGGTATGAATAAACTCTATGTCAAGATTTACCCCCTTTATACCATAGATCCCCCCATATTGAAAAAGTCAAGTTCTTTTCTCTCTTTAGAAATCAGAGACCAGCACCACTCACGAGTGAAATTGCTAAAACTCTTACACATGATTATAAAAAAAACCTACGACTATTTTTTAATCTACTCGAATATGCAGAAATCGTCAGATTTGAGGGATATTTATGCACAAACATTGGCGCAATCCAAATCCCGCTCGGATTAGGAAAAATCACTCCAGCGCCACGCGATAGAAATCACGCATGGCAACAGCCCTGTCACATCGCGCCATACAGTATTCTGTCGCGCCAAGCCTTGTTCGCTACACTAACCAAGTTTTCTTGACTCCGACTCGAGTTTGTAATGACATTTTACGGCTTTAGCCCTTCTTTTTTAGAAAAACAGCCAAATCCATTCTCTTTGCAAAATTAATTCTTAAAAATTTTTTTGCAATAAATTTTAAGGTAAAGCTCGATTTTTTTTCATTTTTTCTTTACGGGGATAAAGTCGGATACTCTCCATAGAAAATAAAAATGACAGAAATTTTTGCGCAAGATTAGTCATAATTTTTCACATTTGCATGCATAATAAAAAGAAAAATAAAAATGCAAAGTTGAAAATAAACATAAAATCATATATACATATATACAAGTGTCTGAGTAACATAAGCAAAGTCCTACAAGTTAAAATAAAGACATGTAAAGGTACACCTATGATGGCAAACCTCGCAAATGTGGACGAACATTAAACATATCAAAAAATTGTATAGTCCGATGAGTCAAACCCTCACCGCAGCCTGATCAGAAGGAGCCGGAATCGAGAGAGTATTGCCAGCCCATCTAGGCTCACCCTACTGCTACACTCCTAAATGTTGAGGCTGCTAAGGCTGCTGCGACGACAACCCAACCTCGTACGTCCCACCAACCACCAAAAGAGCTGACGTTGTGCCTCCCTGGCCAATCGATCCCCCTGACACACCCTCAGACGAGGAACCAGAACCCTCTAATCTGACATTACGGTCTGAATCTACACGACCGCCCTGGCTCCCAGCCGAGGTAAGGCGACACCTCGAGTCCGACCTCGACCTCTCCCTCCTAGCCCCAAGTTTTGCGCGAGCGCGCGTCGGAGAAACGGGGTGAAACAAAAAAAAAGTAAGTCAAGCCAAGTACAGAAAGGCAAATATAAACATAAAAGGAATCAAGAGAAATACCTCTATGTTGTCGTCACTGCGACAACATATGGCTTGCTGGCTCAGCCTCACGAGCTGGTAGCAGAAGGCGTCCATACCCCTAGCCATCCTCAACATCACTTTGCGAGAAAACTATCAAGATGCAAAGTTAGAAATAATCAAGGCATACACATAAATAAGATAACAAATAAAGTGACTCACGAGGTCTAGTGTCGAGGTATCAACTCCCTTTATAAAGTGCCACGACTCAGGAGCCAGAGGAACCATCTCCTTGACATGACAAAAAGTGCCCCTGTTGACGATGGACACCGGCAGAGGCACGAATCTGTGGTTGAAGCCTGTCAATTCAAACCCCAATAGTTAGATTTGGCTTAGGGGCTATCAAATGAACAAGTGACAATACAAATGATACCTCTCTCGGCTCTAGCAAGCAAAGCAGAGGAGCCAGATGTGGCAAAAGCCTCTCCTTAAAGTTATGATTCGGATGGATATGGCTCCTCCAATACAATCCAACCCCCAGGCGTCCTAGCTGCCTGAGCTCTCAGCCTCGTCTGATCGAACATGTGACTAGGAGATCGAGAAGGAACAACAGGAAAATCTGAGGAGTGTTGAACCGCAACTCTCTCGTCCAAATAGACCACACAGTCGTACGTCCTCTAAAAATACCGACACTGGGCAGTGTACTGCACGGCAGTGCAAGGAAGATGAAGCCATCCCACGACCGAAAATGAACCTCGGGTTCCTACAAAATGAACATTTATCAGTTTAAATCCTGCTAAGGGTAATATAAACACAAAATGTTAAGAATCATACCGAGAAAAGAGACTCTCAAACACGAATAGTAACAGTCTGGTCGTTTATACGACCTCTCCAACTAGCAGCAACAAGGAGCCCACGAGTCAAAGGCCTTGCTGGTGAAATAGAAGGGAAATACTTGAAGAACCAAACCTATGAGACAGGATTAATTGACATCAAAAGCTAAACACAAAATCTAAAACAAGCTTTTCCTAAAAGGAATATACCTCTACAATCCCCTAGAAACTGGAAAGAGTGATCTCCCCCTCATAACTACGATTGCGACAGGCGAGTCGCAATCCAAGCAAGAAGTCAGCATAGGCCAAGCTGGCCTAATCATATGATCAGACCATACGAAAGTCACGGAGAGCAGGCAAGTAGTAGAGTAGCACACGACTACCCTTGTTAGGGTAGAACGCCCCTGACAAAACGATTAAACAAAGATGCGTACCCGGTGCTGCAGGGTAGTCGCACCGTCTTGGAAGGACTCAATCAGCATGGTCCAGCGAATTGATCGATTGTTGATCTAAGTCAGTCGAGCCTCAACACGAGCTGAAATAGCTATGGGGCCGACAAACTCCTATATCTCCGGAGAGTAGACCGTGATGTCGCTGCCGAAAGGGGCCGCCGTCGCCCGAAACTCTAAGCCGGTGATGAGAGAAAAGTCGAGTGGAGTTCGAGTCATCTCGCCCCTCGGAAAGTGAAAAGTATTGGTGATGTCCCAAAAGAACTCCACCAGAGCTCGAATTAAACAGCAGCCCGACGTGAAAGAATGTACGGATCATGTACCAAGAAAAAGTGGATGCAGACCACAAGAATCCCAAAGCTCGCCCAACTTAATGTGGCCGCGGAAGTATATGTCATATATCTGACCGAGAGATGCGTTGCCTAAATCGTGGCACCGAATGCGGTCGCTTGTCATCCCGAGCCGTACACGCTCCAAGTTGTGAAAGTGAGGAGAAAATTAGAGAGTGTGCTCGTCCCACACAGGGAAATCTCCCAAACTTGTGAAAGCTCCCTCGCTTGTGTAAACAGGCTCGTCCTCCCGATGAGCGTCGCAGGAGTGAGAACCAGAGCCATGATGTCTAACCATGTTAAATTATGCAAAACAATATTAAATCAAAAGTTGAATGGTATCTAATGTTCGCCTAGTCGCGTTATACTATGTTTGAAAAGAGAAAAAAAAAACAAAGTACGTAGTACTAAAAAAAAGTACGATTTGGATTCAAACAGAAATAACATTTTCAATTAAATCAAACAATTTCTTACAATAATACAGCAAAAATTGTGACTTATTGAGCATGAATAGCTAGCAAGAACATCAAGAATGACCCACTTTGTTCTCACGAACTCAAAAGGGTCAATAATGGCAAAATGTTAATTTCTTCACCAAATTGAGTCAAACAAGTCTCAAAACACTCCCAAGGCAATATACAAGCATAAATAAAAGGATACATGTCATAACATTCAACAAACAAAGCAAAACAAGCAAAATTGGGATTTGAATTTTCGAAAACCCACAAACAAACATGCACAAAATTGAGAAAAACCGGAGTGAGTTTGGAGAAAACTTACATTGATCGGGAAACTAGAAATTGAAAGCATCGATTTGCAAAAAAACTTGAGCGAATTCGGTTGAGAAACAAGACAGAACAAGCGAGGAGAAGTTTTTGTGAAAACTCAAATGAAAACAAGCAGCCACGGCGAAATGGAGAAGAAAGAATTTTATTTTGGAAACCGGACTCTATCGCCATGCAACAGAAATCACGCGTGGCGTGA